AGGGAACGAGTGGGGGAGGGAGGGAATGAGAGAGAGAGAGAGAGAGAGAGAGAGAGAGAGAGAGAGAGAGAGAAGAAAGGAAGAAAGAGAAAGGAAAAAGAAAAGAAAAGCCACACTTTACTTGAAATCTCCACTTTTAGAGCAGTGACTAAAAACTAAAGGTATTTTTGTTGTTTCAGCTTTGCTACTATGTGACCATTTGGAAGCTCATATATATAAATTAAATGACATCTCCAGCCCTTTTGTTAATTATTTTGATTTGTTTTTTGTTTTGTTTTTGGAGACAGGGTCTTTATGTAGTTCAGGCTGGCCTTGAACTCATGGTGATTCTCTTGCCTCCACTTCTTGAGTTCTGGGATTACAGGTGTATACTACCATGCCCAGCCCAATTATTTTGAGACTCAGTCTCACTAAGTTGCCCAGGCTGGACTCTAACTCTCCATCCTCCTGCCTCAGCCTCCAGAGTGCTGGGGTTATATGTATGTATTAACATGCCCACTTATCATGATCTTTTACTGTCTGGAATAAAATCAGAAAAGATTATTTTTATATTAATGTTCACCAACCATTTTCCTTCCATTCATTATCTGTTCCATACCTTTATAGAGAAAGAACACTGCCTTGCCCCCTTTATCTTGTGGGAAACTCACTCTAGGTGTACCAAGAGGGCTAACCTGTGCCTGACTAACTATGGAACTTCACTCTTTTGGACACCATGGAGAACAAGATTAGGAATGCTATGGATGTGAGACCTAACCCAGGACGAGAGACTCTTTCCCAGTCCCATCCTAGCATTTCAACAAAATACTTTAAATAAAACAGCTGGAACTAATAGCCTTAAATGATAGACCTGGGTATGGTGCACACACACCTGTAATCCCAAGCACTAGGGAGGCTGAGGTAGGAGGATGGCCATGAGCTCAAGGCCAGCCTGGGCTCCATAGTGAGTTCAAGACCAGGCTGAACTACATAGCACTACCCTGTCGCAAAAGAAACAAAACCCCAAAACAACAAAACATTAGTATATAGATTAACCACAAACCCCTCAGGATTACTTGTCCATCCGTGTTCATTGTGTTCAAATAATTTTCCATTGGCTGTCCTAAGCAAACACAATTAAGTAAAGCTTAGCTCATTCCAAGTCTCTTTTCTGGTATTAGAATTCCTTGGCTACATGTTACAGAAAGAAAAAAGAAGAAATTAAGCAAAGGGAAAATTTATTGGAAGGAAACTGGGATATTTCACAATGTAACTAACGCAAAGATACAAATTACGGTAGAAACAAATGGAACTTTATGTAGCTGTTTTTTAAAACACTGAGGTAGCAGTACATCTATTTGTATGCCAAACTACCCCCCCCCCCCCCCCGCTTCATACCAGAGACTGAACCCAGGGCTATATACCTAGCCTTTTAAAATATTTTGAGACAAATTGCCCAGGCTGGACTCAAACTTACAGTCTTCCTGCTTCAGCTTCCCAGAGTGCTGGGCGTATGCACCACTCAAGATCAAGGGACCTGGGGCTGGGGAATTAGCTCAGTGGCGCTGTGCTTGCCTCAAGCGCAAGGTCCTGAGTTCAATCTCCAGTACAAGAAAAAAAAAGATCAAGGGACCAGTGTAACCCATTTCATCAACTATATCAAGCTAACTGGGTAAGGTGAGCATACAGCAGAGAGCACAATGGAAGTCCTGCTGAGATGTGTGTTCTTGAGTGTGGGAAATAAACTCTACAAAGACCAGAGGATCTGCCGCTCCTATTAGTTCTTTAGGAAACAAGTGGTTGGGGTATGCGGGACTGGTGCCTACACAAAGTAAAAGCCAAACTGGTACACTTCGCATCACTTACAAGCACAACTGACCAGCTCCTTCTAGATTCTGGAGGCAACGTATCCCACTGAGAAACACTGCTCCAGCCCATCCACTCAGCATGAAAAACTGCTCGGTTTGAGGAGGGCCTTAGAGCAAGAAAGAGCTCTGTAAAGAGTCTCGCTGTGATGTAGTCCTGAAAACGGCCTAGAGCAAATCCTGCAGTATGCTAGGTGTCAGTGAGAAAAGATACAACGCAGAATTTGTCAGGGAATCTTGGACCGTGGAGGGTTTCCCAAATATGTGAGAAGGGCACGTGTACAGTGTTAAGGAGTAGAATGTGGTTGTCATGGAGATGTACCACCCGATGACTTCAAGAATACTGGATGGGCCCTGGGATTTAGCTCAGTGGTTTCGCTGCCTGCTACGCAAGCGCAAGGACCAGAGTTCGATCCCTGGTACCAAAAAAAAAAATACTGGATGCATGAACATCTGGCTGACAGCCTCCGGCTTCCTCTCCTGATCCACTGCTGCTTCCATATGGAACTCAAGCTTTCTCCCCAGGCCACTTCTGCCCCACAGGACAACTCTTAATGGGTAATTTGCTCTGAGTCTCCGCCAGAGCGGCAGACTCTTGAGCAGTGGACATCAGGAGGTTTCTACTCCATCTCCCATCTTCTCTTCTATCACAGTTGTCCTCTGAAGGCACTCCCTGCCTACTGCTCCCTCATCGTTGTGTCCTTCACAGGCACCGTCTTCAACTCATCTCCAGTGTATCTGACTCCACCTTGTTGCCTGCCTTTTGGAGGGTCCAAGATGATACTAGCATGGGTGCTTTAACAATAAACTTGTTACACTAATCAATAAATCAGTGGGATAGTCTTACTTTTCAAGGGAGAAAGGTTTATTTGGCTTATAGTTCATAAGAGGTTTTGGTCTATACTTGGCTGCCTCCAAGGCAGAGTGGCAGGCAAAGACACCAAAAAGCAAGGAGGGACAAGACAAGCCTCTTTCTGTTCCTTATATTGTATCCAGGCTACCAGGATTAGGGCAGTGCCAAACCAGTATACTGATTTAGTAACCACACACCCTTAATCCCAGCACCACACTACAAAAGCCACCTCTGAAAAGCCTCAGCTATGACTGCATAAGGCTTTGCAGGGAGCATCTAGACACGAGCCATAACAGATGAGATTCTCCAAAACATATCCTTGACTACCCAACTTTTGGGAAAAGAGATTTCACTGACCTGATCTACGCTCTCTAGTTTACACTGGCTAAATTTAGATGTCACAGAACATCAGCAACAAAGCACTGTCGTGGCTCCTGCAGAGGCTGCTTCATGAAGCCTTGCACTGTAACAAATTCTTCCTGTGCAACTGGTAGTGGACTATAGAACTACAAAACAAAGCCTCAAAGGTCTGCCAAAAGCTGTGTATAAACGAAGTCAACATTTACTGAGCTTTTAAGTCTTAAAAACTAGGAAGACTGTGCCTGCCTGGCAAGCACAAGGTCCTGAGTTTGACTCCCGGTACCAAAAAAAAACCCATTCTCTACAAAAACTAGGAAGAGTTCAGTGCCTTAGTTCTTTTGGTTATACAAGTCCTGCTTAACGTGAATGAGGACTTTGTTCCAGTTGGGATGACTTTCATGAGAATTATCAATCAACTCTCACCTCTCTGCACTTTTTTCCCCCTTGGTACTGGGAACTGAACTCAGGACCTTGAGCTTGCCAGGTAGGCATGGTGCCATTGAGCTACATCCCCAGCCCAGTGTCCACACTTATTTTTAATAAAAGCATCACTCCTGGCTCACTGTACAGGATTTTAACATACCCATTTTCCTACCAGAGCAAGTGACTTCACACTGTACTATGGCCAAAGTCTCAATTTAAAGTATTAATTTATGGATAATTGATTGTGGTATATTCCATCCACCTGTTTTTCTATACCAAGAGCAAGTCTGTTTTGTACAACCTATGAAGAGTGGTCTGTAAATTTTAAAAGGGTTGTTTAAAAAAAATCCAGAGACCTTACATATGTAGCAGCAACGATATCACTTGTCCTTTTGGGGTAAACTGGCCAATGTCTATTCTAGAGCAGGTTGTTTTGGTTTTGTTCTATTCCCAGTACTGGGGATTGAACCCAAAACCCACACATGCTAAGCCAGTGCTCTACCACTAAAATTCCTTAAGGACACCAGGCCTGACAGGATTCAGGGCAGTGGCAGTCAAATACCGGCATCACTTGCCCTTTGTCAAAATGCACATTCTTGGCGACTCAATGATTCAGTTGGAAGTGGAGATCCTAGAATCTGCATCCTAAACAAATAACCCAAATATAAGGATGGCTCTAGGAAACTTAGAAAACCTTCTCTGGATATTCTATAATTTACTGTGGGGTCAACTTCAGACCATTAAGAGGACTGCACTTATTGGCTGGCTATTTTAGGGTTATGAGTGCTCACTTTGGCCGCATATATACTAAAATTACTAAAATTTTAGAGTTATGACTGGATGGTGGGGAGGTATCTCAGTATCAGAAAATACAGTACTGCTTTTCCTGGGCAATAAATGTGCTTCTACCTTAAGGAGACTACAAATCTTCTAATTATTTTATTCCACTTTACAATTTTGTTTCGCCTCTAAGCAAATATATACCTGGTGGCATTTTCAAGATTTAACCCTTGCTTCATCTTATTTTCTATCTTCTTTTCACCCAAATTTTCTCAACTTAGTTTTCTAAACCAAATTTTCTCTTAATACATTTTTAAATCATCTTGAATCACTCTGGCTGAAACAAGATCATGTTATGAATCTTGAAGTCATACTATCCTAAAATTATTCCTTACTGTATATTACATGCATATTCCTTAAGCCAAGACAGATTTTTCCAGTAGAAGAGCAAAACACAAATTTTTTTGTGTGATGAGTAGTTGACAGGCAAGTGTGGAGGAAAAAGTGAGATTTTTTTCTTGCATTAAATTCCACAGCCAACAAAATATGGAGATAAGAATTTATCAGTCTAGATTACTAAAAGTGCCACAACTCCACATATACAATGTTCCATCCAACATGAAGAGCTTGTGAAAGAAGTTTAAATAGAAAATCTGAAAGACAACCAAGAAAGAAAAGCTTAATAGACTTAGGGTTAAAAAATTTAAAGATTCACTACCTTTGAATAAGGTTTCAATAACCAATGTTTACAGAATGGACAATATTTATTAAATACTCAACTATGTGCTAAGCACTATACATATATTATAGTACATGAGGCTAATAAAGCTAGGTACAGTTATTTCATTTTCATTTTTTAACAAATAATCTGTTTTGAAGAGTGACTTTTCCAAGGACCATGTAACCATTAAGTGACAGGACTACAGTATGAATATCCGACTATAGAATGTAGTACAGAAAGTAGAAAAAGTACATGCCTTGTCAGAAGTATTCTTGAGATTAAAAAATACAACAATAGTTATTCAGCACAAAGTGTGAAAGGACAGAGAGAACTCCATCTAGTACATATTTTAGTGCCTGCTCATGTGCCAAAGGATCAATCCTTCCTGAAGATATTACAGAGAGATCAGGCAGAGAGCAAGAACCAAAGGAACCAAGAGTTCCAACCTGCAAAAGGTGAGGAGTGGAAAAGGAAAAAAGAAAAAAGACACATGGAGCTAGACACCAAGTCTAGATATCCAGACCTCAGAAAATTCATACAGGACAGAGTGGGTACAAACAGCTGCCAAAAGGACAAGTCATGCTCCATGCTATTTCACTGCCAGTTCATGGCGTTTTTATTTTAGAAAGAGGTTAAAGCGACTGCTTTCTTGTTGTATATTTCTATTTTCCACTTGAGAAAACAGAGTCAGACCCATCTTCATCCATTCTGTCACTGAGGTAAGCAAGGATCACTGGTTACTTCAAGAAAACCTGGGGGAAAAACACATACAACTCACTTATATCAGATTTAAATAGTCTCTATAGTCAGGACAGAGAAAAGAGTAAAAAAGACAGAAAATCAACTAATGTGACAATAAAATATTTAAAAACTGGCTAGACTACCAAAAACTACCATCAGCTGTCTTGTGACCTCACCTAACAAAGGTACACTCTGATTCTGACTTAGGAGATATTTAATATTCTTATCATTACAATAACAGCTATTCTTATTCCTATTTGAAAGAGCAAGTTTATTTCCCAAATTTATTTGACCTTTCTCCATGAGAAACAATTGTAAACTGTCACAGTTAATTCTCTCTAGGGGCTGAAGAGTCATCCACTCAATTTTAAGGCCCTTAACATTGCAGCTAAGACACTGTCACTACAAGAGCTCATACCTTTTTCTTTTCCATGAGTTTTGTGAATTATTTTAGACAGATACCTAGTTAAGTGTATTTTCCCAGGAATTAAACTGTTCCTTAGAAATATCTTAACAATTTATAAAAGTCAACCTAAATGGAAACACTAAATATTTGTAAGGATTTAAAAAAAAATTCAATCATACAAAAATGTTTCAGTGGTATTATTCCCTAACAATGCTATAATAGGCCGGGTTTGGTGGCATGTCTTAATCCCAGCAGGATGACTACAAGTTCAAGGCCAGCTTGGGAAACTCAGGGAAACCTTGTATCAAAACAAATTTTAAAAAACAGTTGAGCTGGGAGGGATGGCTGTCTGTAATCCCAGCACTCAGGAGGCTAAGGAGAATCCCTGAGAGTTCAAGGTCACTCTGGACTACACTGTGAGTTCCTGTCTCAAGAAACGAAAGAGAGCTAGGGAAGTAGCTCAGCACTCCCTGGGTTCAATCCCCAGTACCAAATAAATAAATAAACAACACAACACAACAAGAAGTTGAAATTAAAGTCTAAATATGGCTTGGGGTGTGGCTTGCCTCGCATGCACAAGGCCCTGGGTTTGATACCTAGCACTCAAAAACTTAAGCACCATGTGTTTTTCATTTCTGTTCAAATGATTTTATATAGTTTGGTTGCCTGAAGAAATGAAGATACTATAATTAAGTAGTTAAGTGAATTTAGAATTCTACATCTCACTATAAATTTAAGAATTGATATTTATACTCTACTTCTAGGGGACTTCAAAATACCATTTACCTTCTTTTATCAGCCTTGCTCAATTCTGAAATGTACAGAATCACAATGCTGGTAATATGGTTCACATACGTAAAAACAGTGTAGATGCCAGGCAGATGACACAAAAATGCAAGGCAGGCGAGGAGGAGGGTGCAGAGAGGGACAAATACTCCCAAAGAGGCCGCAGAGATGGAAAATGGCAACACAGGCTAAGTAAATTCAGAAGGAAGAGAAAGAAAAGCATCCGGACATACTGAGTCTAGAGAACAGAGTCCAAGAAAGAGGAAAGGGAATGGAGCCAGATTAGCAAGTGGAACTGATGGGCATGCACAGTGACAAGCATGTGGGATCAGATCAAAAAGAACCAGCAGAACTGATCTCATTATTCCCATGATTTTTTTTCAAGTTACATTCTTTAGTTGTTCCTTCAGCATTTCTACAAAAAGGAAATAGTCTTGTTTTGTTTTGTTTTTTTGGTACCGGGGACCGAACTCAGGTCCTTGCGCTTGCGCAGCAGGCGACGAAACCACTGAGCTAAATCCCCGGCCTGAAATAGTCTTAATTTTATAAAATGGTTAACCACATTTCTCTAATAGGGCTTTAAAAAAAATGAAATCTGATTAGATTTGATCAAATCAAATTTAGAGTGCAATTTTTGTCATCACTAAAGGTCACCAGTGTATTGGATTTTAAAAACTCAATCTGCATACCATCAGTTATTTTTCAAAGTAAAGAAAGGTAATATACAAGATAAATAAGTCAAATTCAACCTACAGCAAAGACCTTGTAGGCATTTATAATTATGTGCCACAGTATGTAATCATGTAACACATAACACTGGTACCAGACTGAAAACATATTATTAGTTGCAAATAACTTACCACTTAAAGTCAAAATCCAGTAATTTTCAGTCTTATTTTTCCACTTCTTTGTCCCCCTTGCTTCACTTGGTATTGTCAGTAGCCATCAATCTGAAGAATTCCTCCTTCCTCTGCTGCCACCTACCAGTTTATTTCTCTGCTGCAGCAGAAGGGTATATAGAAAAAGTTCTTGCTTACTGCTCACATTTAACAGAAAAAATTTCATATTTTCACATTTGCACCAAATTTTCCATGTCTGCTCCAGATATTCCCCCAAAAAAATCAGAAACAGAAGTCCCAATTACAGGAAAAAAAAAAAAATCGCACAATGTATGATCATTGCTCATGCTAAACTGGGAAAATTTTAAAAAGGAAGGAAGTAGAAAGATTTAGACACTAAGTAGCTGCCATCTCAATAAGCCATCCCCGTTCTCTTTACCTACCCCTACCATCTATCAATACATACACAATCTATAATTCTGTCGACCCAGTTTACAACTGCAAAATTAAAATTCAGAGATCACCAAAAAAAATCTGTGGAAGACGTATCATTATAAAAGAATTTTTAAAAGTAATTCTAGAAACTAGGGGTGTTAGGTGCTTTACCTGTTTGAGTTTTCAATGTTCTGGACTGCTTATTGCCCAATGGCTCTGAATACATTAAAGCACGAACACATACGCCACCTATATTTAAAATAGGGTAGCATTTGTATGCCCACATAAGCACTAGATTTTTTTCTTTGCAAGAAAATAAATTCATTAAGTCCTTTAAAAAGGGCTAATCATTAAAGCATATTTCCTCAGACTGTATATACATACATAGAAAAATCAGGGGAACAAAAGACAGAATGACAAATATTGTAGCAGTTGTAGGAGAACTGGGCATTAGCACAGCATTAAGTGTTCTCTGCTTGTTAAAATCTAAGATTCATTTATTTATATTCCCATTCTTTTTTGTCACTGGAGTTCACATTTCAAATTTTATTGTACATTAGCTAGTAAGGAATAGTATATCTAGTAATGAGCTAATGAGAACAGTCATGACCTGTTTTTGTTCCACCCTCCCACTACCTTCACCCCAAAATAAATGCGTAATTTCGCCAACTTTAAAAAATATCAAGAAATAAAACAAACACTGAGATAAACACCAAAGGCTAGTCAACAGTGGCACTGCAATATTGTTTCTACTTTCTCATTCCTTCCCCAATCTCAAACCCCACCCTTTTGACCTCTGTGTATGGGATGCGCCTGAGCAGGAGAAGGTGGTGATGTCAGGACTGCGCCGTTCCCACAGGTGCTCCTACAGGCCTGCTGTGCTTCTGGGAACTGGGGCACAGGGAAGTCTGTCTGACTGAAACCCAAAACAACAACAGTTCACCCCACCCCTCACGTTCCCAAACCCCACAGTAGCAGCCAGGTACACATACTACATAAATAAGGTTCACCTAGTAAATGTGAATACGGTAAAATGTAAAAGTGAGATGATTCTTTGCAAACCAGCAGTATTTCAGTGTGGGCAGAATGGAGGTTGTTAGAACCCCCGCGCCCTGGGCGGTCACATGTGCTACACACACTAATGGTGGCCATTCTATTAGGAGGGCACGAAGGTCTCCTAGGCAAGCTTGAGTATACACCAGCAATTCTTGCAGGAGTTTAGCTGGGATCCCTTTAGTGGTATATTTCAGTTCAACAGAGAATTACTTGTGACTAAAGGTGTTCAGGAGACTGTCCCTATCTTTTATGAGTCAACTGACGCACAGAACGGGCTAATGACCTATTACATGCCCTCCTCCACTGCAAAAAGAGCACCTATGGCCAGGATTTCCTAGTCACTAGTCATCTAGTGATGTCGAGCCACTTTGGATAGGACATTTAAAGTCACAGGATAAAATTATGCAGAAGCACATGCTGGAAAGGGACCTGGCTACTTTCAATGAAATCTTATCTACTAGAAAGAGGATTATTGCCCAAAATGATATAGGAGCTTTACCTGTGATGGTTGAGGGCAGCAGAAAGCAGAAAAGGGCAAGTGGACTGGGACAGAAGGCTATCAAAATGAGCAAGCTGTATTCCTGTTCCTGCCCCTAACTATTGGCATGCTCTTGGTTAGTCTGTTCAACCACATTGTGCTTCAGAAATACTTCCCTATCTGCTTCAAACTGTAATTTCGGAGTGTTTAAGCCACAATTGTATGATAACCTCAAAGTGTTCATTTTTTTTTGACACAGTGTCTCAGAAACGCTGAAATGATTGGTTCTGCTGTCATACTGCTCCTAATTTAATCTACATGTCACTGCTACCTTTCGCTTTCATAACCATGTTACAAAAGGAGAAGCACTAAGGCCAACTGAGTGCTATGGTGGGGTTTTTCCATACATAGAACCTAGAGCTTACTTTTACCTTTTCAAAACTAGTTTTCCATACCTGTCAACTCCTAATTGATGTCTTTATACTGTGAGCTCACTTTGTATTCGGAACACCAACCCCTGAAAAAGCTTAAGCCAGAGTAGCACAATGGAAGAAACAAACAAACCCAAAACAAAAACAAAGCCAAAAAAGTCACACTCTGAATTATTTCATTATAGACATATATGCAAAGAGTGGAGTTATCGAAATGCCTAAACAAAATTCCCACAGAAGTCCTGAGTTCATCCCAATCAACTCAAACTTTATCCCCAAAAGCTCTTCTTCAATCAAATTATTTGACATGTTAATGCGTTTTTTAACAAGTGAGTTATGACAAACTCGTGGTTGCCTTTAAAGTGCACAAAGAAAGGAAATTTTTTATAAAAGAAAGTAAAGTTAGCCTTGTGGTGGAAAGAAAGGAGAGTCAAATTACCTGCCAGCCGGCTGGGGCTGTGACTGAATCCAAACCGCTGCATTTAGCATTCATTACACAGCTGCATTATTGGGGGAAGGGGAGTTTAGAAGGGCACTGACCCCGAAAGTTCTCAATACTTCTCACTCATCATCAGGAAGGGGGAAGAAGGAAAGTTTTTTCTCTGGGTATATTTTTGTTTGTTTGTATTTGGTTTTTTTTGGCTCCTGAAAAGGCTGGCAAAGAACAGTAACAGTGCAAACAGTTAGAATATTTCTTTAAAAATATTTTTTAAATGTAAAACATTAAGGAATTTTAAAAGCCAAATTTTCATTAATATAGAAAAATTTTTCACTAGAGTTAGGCAGCCACCCCAAAACAGCATGGCAAAATGGTACTGGTATAAAGGAAATAAAATAGCACACAAAAATCCAAAACAAAACTAAAAACATTTCAAATTAAACCTGAAAGACTAGAAGATTCCAACAGCAGATTTCTGTCCACTACTGAAACATTCCAAAATCCAAGCTTCAAAGGTGCCTAAATTGTATGTTAAATGAAACTTTTTTTAAGAAAGAAAAAAGAAAGCAGTGAACCTGGTTATAAATCCTGCAATATATTACATTTTAAAAAATCCTAGTACAATAAAACAAAATTTAAATAAAATTAAACAAACAAACAAATAAAAACAGTAGCAGCAGAGGTTACCTGTCTGAGCACCTACATTTTCTTAGGAGGGGATCGTGTCTCACCAGCCAAATAGCCCATTAACCTTCTCAAAAAGAGCGAGCCAGGTGAAAAATAACACAAGATTTGATTTCACAATGTCTCTAAGCTCCCCCAAGCCCCAAATTGGGGGTTCATTGAATGAAGATAATTTATTTTTCCATTGCTTTCTTCTTGAGAAAAAGAAGAGATGATCTTGAAAGTCAATGACTTTTTTCAATGCCTTCAGTACCTTTGCTCAAAGTCTGGTAAAGGGCTTGATGAAAGCAAGTCTCTTGCTGGATTTTTCTAATGTTCCAGGGTACTTCTCTTATTGATAGCACATATAGAAAGATTTCAGAGTTCATTGGAGAAAGGCCAGCAGAAATGACCAATTATAGGCACCAAAAAAGAAAAAAGACTATTAAAAATTTTTCAGTGGAATAGTTCATATGTATAGATATCAAAGTCCAGTTTTCATCATGGGTGACATAAAAACAACATCAGAAAGAATTATTTAAAAAATACAATTTAGAATTACAATTTTTTTTTTAGAATTACAATTTTAACAATATACAAAAATTTTACAGCATTCAGATTTTGGCATGATAATGATTACACATATTTGATAAATACATTTTTTTCTCTCAAAAAGTAATGAAGATTATACAAAAGTTAATAAACAATTATGAAAATAAATTCAACTGCCACTTAAATATTTAACGCTGTTTAAGTGCGTTGAGTGATCTGTTCTTATTCTTTAATTTTAGAGGGAACTCAAGAAGATACCCATATTGTGAAAGTCTCAAATGACCATCCCTGCCCTTTTCACTCTAAGGTGTGAGTGTAAAATCCACAAATAGGTTGGTAAAGATATGTTTTAATATAATGTGAATGCACAGAAGATGAGTAAATTGAGTAAAACTGTAAGTGAAATAATTTCAGCTATTTCTTCTAATATATAGTTGCCTAATTTGATAAAAGTTAAAAAGCAGCTGACTACATTTCTCTTGGTCCTTTATCCCACCAACACAAAATGAGTTTTTCATTAAATAAAAAGGATCTTCTATTTATTTTTGAATGCACTAACCTATATATATATATATATATATATATATATATATATATATAATATATAACTGTTCAAATAAAATGTATCTAGTATTATGTGGCAATCAGATGGTCTCTATAAGAACATAGGAATGATGGCTTGATTAAGCAATTCTTTATTTCTCTAAACCAAATAGTATGCACCCTCCAAAATATGGTCATTCAGCAAAAGTACCAAGTATCGTTCTTCCTGTTAATGAGTCAGAGGTACTTGTGTGAGGCCCCACAGCTTTGTGCAAGTCAAATTCTTTTAGATGCAGTCAGAATACCCTGAAGATTAGAAAGCCCTCTCGGGTTCCTTTCTCTGAGGTGAATGAGACAGTGCACAGAGTAGAGGTGCTATTCTATTTGCCACAGTCAACCTTTCACTCAATTTTAATATTACTTAAATCTACAGAAAAAAACCAAGTTTATTACATGCCTTTTTTAAATGAGGGGAAAACTGTACAAGTAAGCATGATCAAACCTCTGTTAGATCTGGTGAATACTGACCTTTTATTATTGCCTCAAAGTTTCTCTACATAGTATGTCCAAGAAATTATGTTAAGGTCCACCTGAAGGAAAATAGCACTGAAGAGGCAAGAAAGGGCTTGGGTAAAAGCTTCAGAGGATTTGTAGGGGAGACAGAACTTGCTGTTTAAAAAATTATGTTGAGCTCTGTAGTACCTCCATTTCTTAACACACCTTGCAAACCCATCACTGGAATAGTTATTATCCATATTTTAAAGGCTCGTATGCAGTATGGGGCTTTTATAAATTCAGAAAATAAAGGAATATAAAGAGTAGTCAGTATTGAAGGCTTAAAAGTAGGGCTATATGAGACTCAGTACTGCTAAATAAATTCCCAAACCAAAAACAAGGCCACCCACCCCAAATCCTATGTGCAAAAAGAGAGAGAATGCATAGCCATAAGCACTGAAGGAAAGCATATGGCCTTGAATAAATCATACATGGAACAGTCACAAAACAAAAAAATCAAACATCATACAAATACATAATGAAACATCTATTCTCCTTATGTCTTCAGGTAATTATCTCTACGCCAGGGGAGTGTAAGTCATGAAAACAACTCATCTGCTTTTTAAAATAAAAAAACTGTTCCCTGTCATGCTCTATTCTCTAGAATCTATCTTTTTTTGTTTGGCTGGTATAAACAAAAAGCAAACCATATACACATGCATGCGTGCACACACACACATATATACACTCCCTTGGAAGATGTGAAAAATGCAAATACATAATGCTGGCATCAGAAGCAACTTCAGTTGTGTACTTAAGAACTTATAGGCCCTTGACTTGTCCCCTAAAAATATTTTTCCTTGTCCTTATTCTTTAAATGTCCAACCACAGAAAGAAAAAAGAAAAGGCTTTAAATGTACATGTTTCAAGTCAGTGTCTTGTTAACAAAAAGGTTGCATTTTTCTCACTTTGGCCATTGTTAAAGATGCAGGCATAGAGCAGGGAAAGTTAGACTAGCATGTATTAAAAAAAGCAACATTAACAGAGCATATATCTTTCAAAAAGACTAAAGCACTAACACACACGAGTCAATGCACATATTTCAAACTAGAGTAACTTTATCTACATTGAGTAAATGTCATTTTGTACACCAGACATTGCAATACTGTTCATTTCCTTTCATCATGCAAACATGCCAATTTTGTCATTAAAAAGCCTTTATTGGGTTATATTCACTTTTCCCTCCCACCCAGATTAAGAGAAAAAACAAAGACAAAACACAAAAATGAGAAATCCCAATAAGAGCCCTTTGAGATTTCATAAACTACTAAGAACTAAAGCTGCTAACAGTGAAATGTCAGAATTTTCAGATTTGTCTATAAAAGTTCCTGTAATTTAGGTAGATGTTTTCTCCACTCTTTACAGATCTCACAATACAATGTAAAGTTATGCTATCAGGTATTTGTACCCAAACATTTTTCATATAAAAACAAAAGCAAGGGACCATGAACAAAATGTTCACGCTCCTCATGGCGTGGCCTGAGAGCATACAAATTTTGTAGTAATTTAAAAGTTAACTATGAGAGCTTGACTCTTTTATAACTGCTTCTGCCTCTGTATAGCATCTGTAATGAAAGTCAGTAAGTTACTAGCAGAGTAACATTTATTCCCCCTTCTTCTAACTAAGCCTACCAATTTTCTCTCATTCTCCTAAGCATCTTCCATGAACAGCATTGCAAGTTGGTTAAAAAAAGGAAAAAAAAAAAAACTGAAAAGAAAATTTTACAAGGGTTTTATTGGTTAATTCCTGACTGGCAGTCACTCCACCAGGAGTTTGATCTCATTGGCTAGCAGCTGGTTCATGTTGAACAGGGCCCCTGGGAGCTTGGTGAGCAGCTCTCGCTCCGTGCTTTCAGGGTCGCTGTCGACAGAGCTGGAGCTTGCGCTCATGTTGTCGACAGCAGTGCTGGCAGGGGGACCCAGCTCCGGCTCACTAGTCTCACTGGCCGTGGACACCACGGAGAGCAGGGACATACGCCGGGTGAGCCGGCCAGAGGGCAGAAGGGAGGCGGCATAGTCCGCTATGATACCAGCTACATCTAGATTACAAGCCTTATCAAAGGCGATGAAACCTACATTTGCATTGGCCTCGCAGACACAGAAAGAGCCGTCATCTTTCATCAACAGGTCAATGCCACACACATCCATTCCCAGGATATTGGACACCTGGACAGCTAGCTGCTTCCCTTGTTCACTGAGTGAGCACATCATTCCCACACCACCTGGCAAAAGAAAAACAAACATGAGAAACTTCAGAGCAAAATTAAAGTTGACCTCCTAGGCTAATCCTCACTTAAAAGTCAACAGTGAAAAAATTTAAAAAGGGGGGGCGGGGGCTGGGGATTTAGCTCAGCAGTTCCAGCGCAAGGTCCCAAGTTTGATCCCTGATACAAAAAAAAAAAGTCAACAGCGAAAAAAACCTGCTATTTATTCTAGTTTAAAATTGGGATTTTGAGGGCCAGGGATTTACTGCCTGCCTCACAAGCGCAAGGTCCTGAATTTGATCCCCAACACCAAAAAAAAAAAAAAAAAAAAAAGTCGGGATTTTTGTCATGTGGATTCCCTTCTTTAGGGATTATTTTTGCTTGTCCTTCATTGGGGATTGTATCCCTACACAGTCTCTCAAATAATCAATAATTTAGTATTTTTCTTTTCTTTTTTCGTGGGACTGAGGATTGAACCCAGAGTCTTCCTACTAAGCTACATCCCCAACCCATTTATTATGAAAGACATTCCTTGTTTAACAACTGAGTTCTGTCCCCATGACTAAGTCATTAAAATTGGTCACTAAATGGGGAATTGTATATATCACATATATTACAATATTCAGAACAAAGAAATGGTCAAAGTAAACTCCAACTTGATGACTTTGCTTTTGTTTGCCTAATTCCTACATGCAGTACTGTAATGTATAATCATGTACTGTACAGTACCACCAGGAAAAATTAGAGTATTGTATAAACAAGTGTACTGTACAAACAAGAGACACTGAGGCTCTATCAACAAGATGTACCGAACAGTATGAAAAAGACTGGCTGGAAGTCCAAGCAGCAGGTCGTAGGCGCACATCAGTCAGTAAACAGTTATGTTTCTATGGTCATTACTAACTGTGAGGCAGAACCTTGCTAAGCCACTAAGTTGACAGGGCTTGCAATTCCCCTACCTCAACCTCTCACAGTACTGGGGTTACAGGCTGCACCACAATGCCCAGCTTTATTTATGGGGTTTTTAAACTTCCCCTGAAGCTCATCTTATAATAATGTATAATAATATGTGTAGTAAATACAGTTGCCCCTCATCTCTGGGTATCTACAAACGAGCAGGGTTCCAGGACTCCCAGAAACATGAGACTCTGCAAATGCTGATGCCCTTATATAAAAGGGCATAGTGGTATTTGCACATTAGCTACACACATCCTCCTATATATTTTTCTTTCTTTTGAGACAGGGTCTTACTATGTATTCTATGCTGGCCTCGAACTCACAGCTATCCTCCTGCCTCAGCCTCCTGAGTGCTGGGACCAGTGCCACCACACTGGTCTTCCTATATACTTCAAATCATCTCTAGATTACTTATAATATCCAATACAATGTAAACACTATGTAAAAAGCAGTTATATTGTTTAGGAATAATAACAAGAAAAAAAAGGTCTGTGAATGTTTGGTACAGAGGTGAGCCAATGACCTCTGCAGGCCTGATGACAAAGTACACAGAGGAGACTGCAAGAGAACAAGGGTCAAACAGTGCATGCTGGAGGGAGACTGAGGAGCCATGAGTCAGTGGAGGCTATAGCAGGGGTGTCAACAGGGCATCTGGTTCATGTGGATTCAGCACCGTGCTTGGTGTGTGGAAGTTCAAGTTTTGCTTTTTGGAACATGTTAAAAAATGTTTTCGATCTGCAGATGGTTGACTCCATGGAGACAGAAAGTGCAGATATGGAGGGCTGGCTGAGTAACTTTTGCAGAGTATGATCAGGTCATTTTATTTTATATGACAAACGTTATTAATTTTTATTGGTAAAAATGATAAAGATACAAAATAGTGATTGAAAGAATGGTATGGATTCTGAGAATATGGTGACTCGAATACATCTCTTCCTCAATAGGCCCCCTCCATTCTTAAGAAAATACATCCAGTCTTTGAGTAACCAGCAGAATACTGCTGAAGACTTGGTCCTTGCTGCTGAGAGGAAGAATTCTCACTTGGAGCCCAGCTTCAGGAAGCTGAATTAAGACTGGAAAGCAAGGAATTTAGAGAAGAGTCTGTGTGAGACAGCTCATGTATCCACAGCAGTACAGCTGACATGTGAGTGTGGTGCTGCCTCTGACCACAGACAGGCCCAAAAGTACTGGGCAGGAGAGCTGAAGAGGTGGGAAGAATACTGAGTCCAGGAAACGGGAGGCTCTGACATCTGAGGGCCTAAGGCTTCACAGAGCACGCCAAACACCCAGAGCAGAGTGAGCCCTGACAGGACCACAAGCTAAAACTCTACCACTTGAATGGCAGAAATAAAAATATTCTGGGTGTGGTGGCAGCACTCAGTGGGCTGAGGAAGAAGGATCGCCACAAGTTTGAGGACAGCCTGAGCTACATTCAAGGCCAGCCTGGAATACATAGCAAGATCCTGTCTCAAAAAACAAAACAAAACAAACAAAAACAAAAAAGAAAATAAGAACACTTTAAAGAAGAGTCAAGATTGCTGGGGATTTAGCTCAGTGGCACCGTGCCTGCCTTGAAAGCACAAGGTCCCAAGTTCAATCCCTGGTACTGGAAAAATAAACAGATAAATAAATAACCTACAAAGGAAACAGAAATTGAAAAGATTTGGACATTTAACTGCAACAATCTTCAAGGCAGCTGAGTTGAAGCTAGAGTCTTACCATGTTATGGTTTGGGTCCAGATGTCCCCTCACAGGTGACTGAATCTAGAGCATGTGATCACTAAACCATGTGACTGATTGATTTGGCACTGCCCTAATCCTGGTAGTCTCGATGGGATAAAAGGGACAGAAAGACCTTGTTAAGGTCCCTTGTTACTTTTGCTACCTTTTGCACACCATGTTGTTTCTCCTCTGAGATGCCTGTTTGCCATCCCTGCCTTGAAGCCAGGCGATTATGGACCGAAACCTCAACAAACTGAGCAAATAAACCCTTTCCTCTTTAGCTTTGGGTGTCGGGTATTTTTTTTTTTTTTTTTTTTTTTTTTTTTGGTACCAGGGTATCAAACTTGGGTCCTTGCGCTTGCGAGGCAGGTGACACAACCACTGAGCTAAATCCTCAGCCCTGAGTGGGGTATTTTGTCTCAAGAACTAGAGGAAAGTAACTAAGACACCATGTTAGAACTGTATCTCACCCAAGATACTGCTCTCACCTCACAGAGAAAGATCTGCAAGGGTAGCTGTCACATTCCTACCAGGGAGAATAATCTAGAAGAGACACCAACATACTAATATATGACTAAGCACAAACATAAAGACATCAGAAGACAAAGATGGGGAGTAAACAATGGTGAAAATGAATTTTGCAATCTAGATAATTTTATATGGATAAAAAAAGACTATCTGGAAATGGATGATGTTAAGTTGAAATAGAAAGAGATACTGTAAGAGAAATTCAAATCTACATGCAAACCAAAACTATTAAATGGTTTCAGCAAAACTCTGGATTATAGGGCTGGTGTTGCAGAACACACCTGTAATCCCAGCTATTCTGAAGGCTGAGATCAGAGGATCCCAAGTTGAGGCCAGCCTGTTATAAAATAAAAAGGTCTGGAGACGTAGCTTAGTGACAGAAAGCTTACGTACCATGTGGCTGTGGGTTCAATCCCTAGTACACAAAGGAAAAAACAACTGAACTGCAAAGCCTGTGAGAGCAGAGATTTCCGTTTTGTTCACAGTTATATAGAAACTACTGCTATAACAGGTAGTTAACCTATAGAACGCGCTCAAAACTAATTGTTCTGTGAATGAATCAATAGGAGGAGTGGGGTAAAAGTAAAGCTGTTCTGATCTTCTTGCTGAAGGTAGAGGAAGGCTGGGATGGTGCATGGGCATGTGCCACCACACCCAGCAATTTGTTATACAATGTTACTATACATTACTATAGTGTTACTATGTTACTATAACATTATAATGTTATATCTGTAACATTTTTTTAGGAGGAAAAAAGAGGGTAGATGGCCTACCAGGCATAGGTTGGACAAGCCTGTAATAAAAAGTCAGAGGAGAAATCTTAAAGGCTGGAGACCTGATAAAAGTAAACAAGTACCACTGCTATCACCAGGATGTGAAAAATCTGATGAGACTGGGACCATATGTCAAAATTTCCACGAAAGCAGGCATTAGGAATCTAAGCAGCTCTAGTGCTGTGCACCACAGCCATGAAGAACAGCCAGCCCACCTGGTCCCTCTGGTGGCTGACAGAGCCCTGAGCAACGGTGAAGTGCATGGTGGGCACAATGCCACCAAAGGAGTCCCAGGAGTACTCCTGCTTCTGTCCACTGGCACTCACTGACACTGGGCATTTTGGTCCTTTAGCTTTGGTTGAGTTGGATTAAACCATTTGCCTTTCTCTTCTAGCAGGGGTCAGTTCAGCCAGTTCCACCAGCTCAGTTTCCCTGTTACTCACAGGAGCCCCATTGCCCTGTGCCATCACATATCCTTTGAGGGAAGACATGAGACTGGTACCCCAATACCTTCCTTGTTCAGCTGAGGGAAAGGCTGGGGACCGTAAGCCCCAAAGGGCATAGATCTCCCTGCAATGGTAGACAGGGACTGGGGACTTCTGGGAGCCAGGGAGCATGGCTGCCCACCTGCACCCAGTCTGCTGCTCTGGAGGTGCTTCAGAGACACACACAACAGAAGGCAGGAGATGTTTACCACCCTGACTACAAAGAAACTGAGGCCTGGCCAGGGGCTCACTCGAGCTAGGAAACTGAGGGTCCCTGTGGCAGGCTGCCTCCTAGCTGTCACCTCCTCAAACCTGGACTGGGCCAAACTCCACCCCACCTCACCCCAGTCCAGCTCAAGCCCTGAAAAAGCTCTGCCCAGCCAGCAGGCCCTACCGGGGTCCCAAGCATACGTGCTACACCCTAAGGCACTGACAGTTAAGCTAGCTTCATTCCAATGTCACTCTGGCTACACAGAACGTGCTAGGAAGACTAAAAGCTCTCCAATACATTAAGTCAAAACATTAAATAAGGGCCAGGGATTTGGCTCAGTGGCACCACGCCTGCCTGGCAAGTGTGAGGTCCTGAGTTCGATCCCTGGTACCAAAACAAACAAACAAAAAACATTAAATAAAGCCAGCATAACATTACCATCAAATGTGCTAAAGTTTAAAAAATTAACATTATTGGGCCAGGGATTTAGCTCAGTGGTTCTGCCGCCTGCCTCACAAGTGCAAGGTTCCAGAGTTTGATCCCTGGTACAAAAAAATAAATAAATAACATTATGGACTAATCTTACTTATGAAAACAGATGTAACTGTTTTGAATAAAATATTTAAGAATTGAAACAAATAAGAGAAGACAGTATTAGAGGTAGAAATGGTGAGAAATGGTCAGATTTGGATACTTTTTTTGATACTGGGAATTGAACCCACAACCTCACACTTGTGAGGCAGGCGTGGCACCACTGAGCTAAATAAATCCCTGGCCCAGTATTTCTTTTCTTCTTTTTCTTTTCCATATGGGGAATCAAACTCAGGACTTGTGCTTGTCAGGGAGGTGCAGTGCCACTGAGCTACATTCCCCAGCCCCTTGGATACATTTTTGAAAGAATAGAGATATTTCAAGGTGTTCATAACAGTGTGGGGTATAAGTATCAGCATGGCTACATATTCTGATTTAAACTGTAAAAATAGAGCTGTCATCAAATGGTAGAATATTGTGGGATGAATACACTGTGTACAGAGGGAGTTAAATTAGGTGGTAAGTTATGGAGATATTAAGTAGTTGGCAGTTACTCATATGAACTAGGAGTTCAGGGAAAAAGCCTAAATTGAAGACAGAAATTTGAAAATAATAAGTATACAAATGGTTCTTAAAGGCATGAGCTGGATAGGACTACTAAGAAGGAGGCAAGTATAGTGGCTGTAATCCCAGCACTTAGGAGGCTGAGGCAGGAGGATCACTGCAAGTTCGAGGCCAGCTTGGGCTACATAGCGAGTTGAGGGCCAGCCTGAGACTCTGTCTCAGAAAAAAAAAAAAAAAAAGATACGAAAAAGGGGATACAAATAGAGAAGAGGAAAACCCCCCAAAACTAGGTCTGATGCACTCCAACAATAATAGATCTCAGAAAATACATATTTAAATAAATCAGAACCAGTGATCTTGTTTGGACCAATGAGTGAAATGGGTTAGAACACAGCTTAAATGAACTCTAGTTATGCACCAAATAAGAATATCACCAAAAAGGGTATCTAACTCTGGTCAAACATCTCATAGATAGAAGAATTTGCTTATAAACTGAACCTAGCAAATCCACGAGTCAGTGAGATCTAGTAACAGCCAGAAGAACTCAACAGGATATTAAACTGATGGTATGTTTACAAATTGTACTCACATGTGGAAAAGTAATGAGCTTTTCAACTCTGTAAGTAAAAAGATCTACACTAATATATAAATCCTCCCTGGACAAACTACTTTATATGCTAGAAAGACACCTGCTCTGTTTTTACCTAGTGAGCAGTTGCTTTGCATTCTCCCATCTGTGGAACAACGTAGCATAGTGCCAACAACACGGCCTCCCACGACAATGACACGAACATCCCGTCCATGAGACTCCTTCACGTACTTCTGAAACAGGTATGGTGCTTCGTGGCGAATAAGATGGCTTAGATCAGCCAAGTGGTGCTTGTCTCGTGCCAAGAAAACAGCTTTGCCTATGATTGAAAAAGCACATAAAATACACAGAATATGTGTAAGTCATCAAACTGGGGACTGATATCTAATACCTGAACATTTTTTTTTTTTGTACTGGGGATTGAACTCTGGTCCTTGCGCTTGTGCAGCAGGTGGCGAAACCACTAAGCTAAATCCCCAGCCCTACCTGAACATTTTTATGATCCAATCTGCTCTTAAATTTTCCTTATTAGAACTGTTTTAAAGTAATTTAGTTAGGATAATTACTGAGATAATGAAAATTAAAACAAAGTTAACAAAATTCTGCCCTAGCCCCACAAACCCCAAACTCTTGGTAAACTAGAACTTATTTTGGTACATGTTACAAGATAGTGGTCAAGATTTGTCTTCTTCCATAAGTTAGCCAATGTTAGCCACATTGATTAGCAAAACCTTTTCCTTTTAAATTAAAGCATATGCATTCGATATAATATATCAATACTGTTAATATTTAGCAACTTAACACAATGTTACTACACACTTCGATTTATTTCTGAATTTGCTAGTCTGTTCTACTGCTGTAGGTTGCATTTTTGTAACAATATATGGTTATATTCTTTTTCTCCCTGGCTGCCTGAGGATCTGTTGCCATCATAAATGACATGGTAACTATCCGACCTGGAAGTTCAACCGACGACTTCAAAGGAAACAAATGGTCATTGATGTCCTTCATTCCGGGAAAGCAAGACAGAAAATCGGGAAAAACTCGCCAAAATGTACAAGACTACACTGGATGTCATTTTTATATTTGGATTCAGAACCCATTTCAGGGATGGCAAGACAACTGGCTAAGGCATGATTTATGATTCTTTGGATTATGCAAAGAAAAATGAACCCAAACATAGACTTGCAAGACACGGCCTGTATGAGAAGAAAAAGACATCAAGAAATCAGCAGAAGGAACACAACAACAGAATGAAGAAAGTCAGGGGCATCGCAAAGGCCAATGTTGGTGCTGGCAAAAAGTGAGCTGGAGATCAGAGAACAGCCAAAGCAGTAAAGATTTTGCAGTGTCTATGTGCAGTGACTGCGGGTTTTTCACGAGAGGATTAATAAACTGTAAAAACTAAAAAAAACAATATACGGTTATAAATTCCTCTCTTGCATGACAAGATCTGTGTCCCTTCCTACTGAATCCAGGAGGGGCTGTCACTGCTCCAACCAAAAAAAATAAAGTAGAAGCAATTCTATAGGACAGCTAAGGGTGGGTCATAAAACGTTATGCAACTTCTCTGTTAGTTGAGCACTCCCTGTGGGAGGTCGGAGGCTAGAAAAGCCAAATATAAAGAATATTCATATATTCAACAGTCCCAGCTGAACTTTTATCCAGCCACTCCTGTCAAGGCAATAAACATGGGCTAATCTTGGATTTATGAATTGCTTTATGCCTTAAAAAATTCTTCCCTGATCCTGTTGGCTGTGGTGGTGCACACCTGTGGTCCCAGCACTCGGAGACGGAGGCAGGAGGCCAGCCTAAACTACATGGCAAAATCTGGTCTCAAAACACAAAACAAAAATTCTTCCTTACCCTGAGGTCAGTATATTATTTTCACATACTATCTTTTGAAAGATTTTAAGGTTTTTCTTCACCTTATATATTTCATCTTCAAACCATATAAATTAAAGGGAGATAACTGGAGTTAGAGCTTTAAGGTCCCTGTATTGTTGAAGCGGAAGGTTAAAAACATTAATTTGAATTTGGTCTAACTATGCATGTTAAATCTCTAGGAAAACCACTAAACAGATACAGCTTCTAGCCAAACCAAACTTGCAGTAACTTTCTGTAAGTTTGAGTTACCATACACTTACTGATTCCTAATTATTCTTCAACAGCCTTTTTCTAAAATTACTAACTTGCAAGAGTAATTTTAAAATTATGTGCCTTATTAGCAACTCATACGCACCTCTATGACCCCGTGTATTCTTCACTACCATTGGGAACTCCAGTACTTCCGCTTCATCAATCATTTTAGCAAAGTTTTCATGGCCACCTGAACAAAAAAAAGAAACAAGAAAAAAATTTAACAGGTATAACAGAAGTATTTTGTGATCAATTTTATTGCTATCAAAACCAGCAGCACAAGGTAGGTAGAAGGAAAGAGTTTAATGGCTAATTTTTTTTCTCTGAGAATACAAATATAAATTGCAAGTATAACTGAGTATCAATTGAAAACAACCACATGTTTTAAAACAGGTAATAGCCATCTCAAAACTATACATATTCTATTATCCAACTTAAGTATCTTTTAGCTAAACAAAAATTCTAATTTTATACCATTTTTCATATTTTTATCCCTTATTCCTTCCCCATACAAATCATAAAAGCCCCAAGATTTACTGTAATAGATACACTCTCCCTGGCCAGATTAAGAAACTGAACAGCATGGGCCACGGATTTAGCTCAGTGGTTCCGCCGCCTGCCTCGCAAGCGCAAGGTCCTGAGTTCGATCCCCGGTACCAAAAATAAAAATTTTAGAATTGTAGAACCATGATATAAGATAATATTTCAAAAGCAACATAATTCTCAAATACTTTATATTGTCTTTTTCCTCTGGAACTACTGAAATCAGCAAATGCATCCACATGTTTGGGAGTTTCCTTCTTTAAAATATTAAGAAAAAGGACAAGGACTTTTTTTAAGCCTCATTAAATCTCCAAGCACTCTACTGGACATTTATTTGGAGAAATGCCTGTGTGGAGAACTCTGCACTGATCTTTTCCAAAGTGGAAGACAGGAAGGACAGGAAATACATTAGCAGAACCCTGATCACAGCTGTGCCACCCAAAGTGTGTGTGTGGCCCTGTGACCTGTGTGTTACTGATGTGCGATCCAGCAAACAGTAAGCAACAGAGGTTTTCACAGCAATTGAGTATTGCTGTGATGTTGTCTGTTATACATTACATGAGTAATACTCAATCCACAGATTGAACTTAAAAAAATTATCCCTTACTTTTTAGAACAACTGCTTTAAAGCATTACCTGGAAATTTTCTTTAAAAATCTGAACATGGGAAGAGTTATGAAAATGACAATAAAGAGTAAGAAATTAAACAGAAATATCAAATGCTATTATCTTCTACTTCAAGCATAAGGCTGTGGGCCAGAATTGGCCTATTATCTAGGGAAATAAGTTTTATGGGAACAGAGACACATATATTTGCTTACACATTGTAAGCTACACATTGGTAGCAGCTTTCATACTACAACAGTACTAACTAGTGAGGATAACAACAAAGAATTTACAGTCTGTAAAACCTGAAATATTTACTACCTGGCCTTTACCAAAAAAGCTGGCTAACCCAAATTTATCCATATCACGAAACTAATCTAAAGACATGACTCATAATTCTTCTGTCCAGTTTGTTAAAACTGAAAGTCATTACTTCCATATCAGAAGCTCTTTCAAATTCACAAAGCTACCTCTTAGGCCTGGCGTGGTGGCTCATGCCTGTAATCCCACACTTGGGAGGCTGAGATAGGAGGATCCCTGCAAGTTCATGACCAACCTAGGGTACACAGTGAGTTCAAGGCCAACCTGAACTACATAGCAAGAACCTGTCTCAAAAAGGGAGAGGGGGAAGGGATTTAGCTCAGTGGTGCTGTGCCTGCCTGGCAACTGCAAGGTCCTGAGTTCGATTCCTGGTATACAGGGTAGGGGGAACAAAAATCTACCTTTTAATTTAATATAGATCTCAAAACTATCAGTGCTTCTAAAATGTAGGCTATATATTCTTATTCATGATCTTACCATAAGAGAAAGTATCTGGCAGAGGAACACCATGGCCAGCTAACTCTTGAAATGTCCAGAATTTATTTACACAATTCAGGATGGCTTGAGGTCGGTTCATCAATCGGCAGCCCATCTTCTCCAGATGACGCAAAACAGTGATGTCACTATCACTCTGCACCCAAGGGGTGGGGACTCTCACGACCACCACCTGGGGGTAGGCAGAGATGAGTTCTCCATTGATCCGCAGACCTGAAATGCACAGGAATAAAATCAAATCCAGTGGAAGGGAATATACAATAACACAGAGAAAGAGTAATATCTCAAAGCTTGGCTTACAAGATTAAATGCACTATGCTGTTAATCAGTGGGGATAGAGAGATACTCCTCTGTGAGAAAACAGAAAATTTCTACATGGTTAACTAAATTACATCATATGTCAATACAATGAGTTACTACGTGGTCATGAAAAAGAAAGTAATGAATATCTATGTTCAAAGATGGAAAAATATCTAGATATATAATGCGAATCCTTTTTAGGGGCCTATCTGAGAGTAAGTTTTATGTAATTATATATACAAATGTCTGAAAGGACAAAGAATAAAACTGGCTTCCCCTGATGGTGACCAGGCAGCAAGGCAGGAAAGGAAGACAAAAAAAAAAGACTCAGAACTTGATGAAATGGCAACAGAATTGTCCAAAAGTGAAAGCAAAGGGAAAAAATGACTTTTAAAAAAGAACATAATATCAAAGAATTATGGGATAACCACAAAAGGAAAGCAGCAACATTTGAAAGAATAATGACTGCAACCTTCCCTAAATTAATGTCAGATGCTAATTCAAAAAACAGAGAAGATAAAACTGGATTAATACTACAAAAATTGCACTTAAGTGTATCACAGTCAAACCTCAAAAGATAAAGAACAAACATTAAGAATGACATCTGTTTTCTCAGAACCAAGCAAGAAGAGCGGAATTAGCTGGCATGGTGGCGCACACCTATATTCCCAGCACTTGGGAGGCTGAGGCAGGAGGATTGCTGTGAATTCGAGGCCAGCCTGAACTACACAGGGAAAACTTATCTCAAAACCCCCCCCCCCAAAAAAGAGTGGAATTAAGTATGTAAAATGTTCATAGAAAAACCCACTAACCCAGAATTTTGTCCTCTCCAAAACAGGGCAGGTGTGGTGGCACAGACCTGTAACAGAGGCTAAGGCAGAAGGATCTTAAGTTTTAAAACCAGCCTCAGAGTTTGAGGCCCGCTTGAGCTACACAGCAAAACCCTACCTCCAAAGAAAGTAAGCCAGGGAGAGTGGCACAAGCCTGTAATCCCAGTTACTCAGAAGGTCAAGTAGAAGGGTTACAAATTCAAATCAACCTCTCAAAAAACAAAAGGGCTGGGGAAGCAGCATAATGGTAGAGCTCTTGCCTAGCATGTGCAAGACCCTAGTTCCAATCCTCAGTACTGTGAGGGGGGAAGAAGTATATATATAATAAGAAACCAATCCCAGGGCCGGGGATTTAGCTCAGTGGTTCGCTGCCTGCCTCAAAAGCGCAAGGTCCTGAGTTCGATCCCTGGTACCAAAAAAAAAAGAAAGAAAGAAAGAAAGAAACCAATCCCAGGGACCAGATGAAGGAATTAATAACATTTTGCTTTTACAAAGTGCTTGTATTTAGGGCGAGGGATTTAGCTCAGTGGCACTGCACCTGCCTCGCAAATGGAAGGTCCTGAGTTCGATCCCTGGTACCAAAAAACAAAACAAAACAAAAAATCAGAGTGCTGGTACCCATGAAATAGCACAAGAATATTTGGAAGGAAACTACAAACACTAAGGCAACCACTAAAAAAGTAAAGATATACTGACATACTGAGAAAAATAGAAACATATAAAATGCTCAATTAAAACTATAAAAGGCAGGGGCCAGGGATTTAGCTCAGTGGCACCATGTCTGCCTCGCCAGTGCAAGGTCCTCAGTTTGATCTCCGGTACAAAAAAACTATAGAAGGCAGTTGGACATGGTGGTGCATGCCTCTAATACCAGCACTTGGGAAGCTGAGGCAGAATCATCAAGAGTTCAAGGCCAGCCTGGGCTACACAGCAAGTTCAAGAATGGCTCCAGGGCCGGGGATTTAGCTCAGTGGTTCAGCCCCCTGCCTTGAGAAAGCTCAAGGTCCAGAGTTTGATCCCAGGTACCAAAAACAAAACAAAACAAAACAAAAGAATGGCCTGAACTGCTTATTGAGACCCTATCTCAAAAAACTAAAAACAACCAAAGCACAAAAAACTGTAAAAAGAAAAACAAAAACAGAAACAAAGAACAAGAAAAACAGAAAGTAACAAATATGATATTTTAATCTAACTCTTAATAATCCCTTTAAATGTCAATGGTTTCACTAAAAAGACAGAGATTGTCAGAATGGAACAAAAAACAAGATCCAGGTATATAAGAAATCCATTTAAAAGAGTCTATAAGAAATCCATTTAAAAGCCAGGCACAGTGGCATCCTCCTATAATCCCTGGACTCTGAAAGGCTGACAGAGAAGGATCCTAAGCCCAACCTAGGCAACTGAGCAACTCAGCAAGACCTCATCTCAAAATTTTAAAAAGGGCTAAGGATATAGCTCAATGTAAATGCCCTGGGTTCAATCAGCAGTAAAACACACGCGCACACACACACGCACACACACTTAACTCTTTCCTAAACAATACAATTAGGAAAATATTTGTGTTGCTACTTCTCCCATAATGTATTAGGTTTCCATTAGATAACCAGTAATGATAAGGCTATTAACTCATTTATCCTAATTATTCGTAGAATTTGCAGATTTAACCACTTTCTCAGTAAAATCCCAAAATATCACTCAGCATAGACTTACCCAGGTTCCCTTGTTCGACTGTCAGCACCACCTCATCCATCACCACAGCCCTGAAGTCCAGCTCCTCCTCGCAACACTTAGCCTTCAAAGCCCGTAGGATCTCTTTTTGGGGGTAATCTTCCCTGATGCGACGATCTGTCAAAAACCACAACTTGGCAGCCACAGAGCTACACATCTTGGTCTGCTTGTTCTTCTTTTTCTGGATTATTTCCTCTTGAATGTAAACTCTACCTAGATGTAAGAGAAAAAATACACATACAATGTAAACCAAGAAATCACTTAACATGTAGATTCCAAACAAATTAAGTGCTATGATTATATACTACACAAGAAGAAAGTGGAGAAATAGTGTGCCTTTTTCCCTTTCACTGAAATCAGAAACTGTATACCACTAAAAATATGGGAACTGGCAACTACTCCAGAAATAAAATTTGGGATCGAATTTGGGTCCTTGTGCTTGCACAGATGGCGAAACCACTGCACTAAATCCCCGGCCCCAGAAATAAAATTTTTTCATTTTCCTGCAGGGAAGCTGCATCTTAATAACTTAATAATTATAGCAGAAGCCAAGGATTTAGCTCAGTGGTGCCACTGCCTGCCTCGAAAGCACAAGGTCCTGAGTTCGATCCCCAGTTCCAAAAAATAAAAAAATAATAATTATAGCAGAACCACGAACACAAGGCCCTTGTTTCAGGGTAAATGAGAAAAGGACAGGTCAGACAGCAACCCTGGAAAATCACTGACCTGAAAGTAGAAGTGACCTTTCTGGACTTGTATCCAAGACAGGATCAGAAATAGGAATTTGTGTTTCTAGATATAAATTCAAGCTTGAGATGAATGTGTGAATGAATGGAAAGAAACGATCAGAAATAAAAAGATTTGCATTTAAAAATTATAGGCCACTTGGTGGGAACTTTCAATGCCATTTCCTATATTACTATTGCCTGGGAATATAATTTAATGATCACCCACTTTTCAGTATTCTAGCCCTTCCCTTAAAATGCAGTTCACTTCTTGGTACGAAACAGATGAAATTCCAATCATCAAGGTGCCCCATCTCCCTCATCACTGAATACTCTGATTAAAGTATATTTTTGTATCTATGGTTACTTTTGTCTCTTCCCTTGCTTTGATATAGTTATGTAGAAAATGAGAGAGTACCACCTATACTGTGAAATAAGCAAATATTAACATCACTTATATAGTTAACTATATTAATGAAAACACACTGGAAAATGAGCAAAAGGACTTTAAATAACCAAAGTAAGCATGCAGAACCATTCACTACAGTTGTTTATTTTTAGGTCAGAGGAGAAATTACTTATGTTTGTATTATTTCTTTAAATAGAAATTTTGAAAAAGTTTGCTAGAATGTAAAATGACTTTTTCTTTTTTTCCCTAAAGATAAGAGTGCCACACCTGAGTTTGTATCAAGAGTAAGACAACAGTTGAAAGTTGTCTTCCTGAGAAAAAGCAAAAGTTTGAGGCTGTTTTAAAAAAAATATTTTTACAACCCCTGCCCCCCCAAAATCACAAAATTTCAAGTACAGTACAGCTGTCCCCAGAACCCCACTCCTGGTCTACACTATCTCACCCGTGGCCCTGACCATACCAAAATTCACGAATGATCAAGTCCCTTACATAAAATGGTGTAGTATTTTCATGACCTGCACACATCATCCTGAACACCAATCCTCTCCATACGGTATTGCTTAAATTACCTAATACAATATAAATGCTATGTAAATAGTTTCTATATTGTTTTGTTTAGGGAATAACAAATTGTATGTACTTATTTACAGACACAATTTCTTCCAAATATTTTCAATACAAGGCTGGCTGAAACCATGGATGCAAAACCTATGAAAACCTAGGGCCAATTATTCAAGCATTACTCTATATGACATTTGGAAACTCTAACAGAAACAAAAGGTAAAAGTAAAGATCAGAAGAAAGCAAAAGGTCATACAGATGAGTAGCTCCCTGAGCAGCAGCGGCGGGAATGGGCTGTTCATGCACCCTTATCCAGTCTCCAGGTATCGGTCACAAGGATCTGCTCCACAGAGGATGCGGTGAGACCAGGGCCAGCGGTCCATACTCCCAGCACCTTGTCCTGCTATGCCTGCCACATGTACCACCTCCTCCACTCCTAACCCACCTACCTCGAAACCCGCTTCTTCAAAGGTATAAGTTACTGGTGCTACATAAGATATCTGCACTAGATATGGTAACCACTCAACTTGTACACATCCCAGCAAGGAATCACTGCTAACAATGCCATGCTACCTTCCCTTTTGGTCAGTCTGTAAGCTACAAATTATACTATCTGTGCAACAGTCCGTGACATTAAAATCTCATTAGAAACTGAGCACAGTGACATACGTCTTTAAACCCAATACTCAAGGGGCTGAAAACAGGAGGGTCACTGCAAATTTAAGGCCGGCTGGGCTACATAGTGAGTTCAAGGCCAGCCTGTACTATAAAGTGAGACCTTGTCTCAAAAATCTCTTGAAGAGCCGGGGATTTAGCTCAGTGGTTCCACCGCCTGCCTTGCAAGTTCCATCCATGGTACCAAAAAAATAAATAAATAAAATAAAACCTCGAATATAATCACTAGATCCATAAAAGTAAAATATATACAAAATGCTATGGATTTCCCTAAGCAAAATATTCTGTACATCCTACAAACTGTAAACTTTTGTTTACAGAATGTTTTTGATAAAATTTTTCTATTAAATTTGTCTTGACAAAAAGATTTCCTTTCAATCAGTTGTGGAAAAGGTTCAAAGCAAATCTGTACTATGATCATCTAAACTGGAGGTGATACATGTTTTTCTGTTGAGTTGTGCCACAATTTCCTCCCTGTGCTCCTAACTAGGAACTATACCCACAGAGACACGGCATTTGGTACAAATGTGCACCAGCAGTAGCACGTTGGGCCTTCCAGCCTCTTAAGAGGGGCTCACTCAGAAGGGAAAAATCCATAAAAGAAAATATCACAGCAGTCCTTGTAGAAAACCCTCAGTTTCCCTTGAGGGAAGAACTGGCAAAAAATCCTTAACATGTCTGTATTGCTGGAGTGGCACACCCCTGTAATCCCAACTACTCAAAGGGATAAGGAAGGAGGATTGTAGGTTTGAGGCCAAGCTGGGCAACTCAGCAAGACCTTGTGTCAAAATTAAGTAAAATGGGCTGGAGATGTAGCTTAAGTGGTAAAGTACCTGTTTGGCATGTGCAAGGTCCTAGGACAGAAAGGGGAAAAAACCATCAAGAATGTATTCAACAGTTTTAAAATCTGCACTGACCGCCAAAACTCCGAAGCCATGTCAATGTCTCCCCTCACACTTAGTTCTTGGGGCTTTCACCTGAGTGTGGCTGTTGTTGCCTCAACAGCAATCAGAACAAGACATTTCAGTCAGTGGCAGCTGGGAAGCAGAAATGTTCTCCCAACGCTAATACTTCAGATGTCTGGAAATTACATGGGCCACCGGAAGTTAAGCTTCTGTAATCAAGCAGTGAAAATAGTCCCTCCCGTGCTTGAAGAGCTACAAACGTTTGGTCAACATGTTTTTCCACATGAAATGTCCACTTGTCAGGTAACTGTTGCAGGTGTATGGCTCAGTTACTGAACATTCCATCCACACTTGCCACCCAGGTTGAGTTCATGGAATGGGCCTGGCATCTGGCAGAAGGGCTGCAGGGAAACACTTGCCCCCGAGAGCAAACACTCGCCGCTGAGGGGCAGTAGAGAGTCCTGCAATACTCGTTCTCTAATCACCATAGGTCACTGCTTCCCTGCAGAGAGCATGCATCATTTTGGACTATCATAAAGCTAGCAGTGGCCAATGGTGGCATCACTGGCTAACTCTTTGAGTCTCAGGAAGAAAGAGGGTAGATTATTTGCCTTATGTACTCCAGACACTGCACAAAATGTACTCCTAATACTCAAAAGATTTACTGTCAACATCTGACAGTTCTAGTGGGTCCTCTCAATTTCCCTCAATCAAAAAAGGTCTTCCTTCCAGGCGTGGTCCAGTAATTCCAGCACTCTCGGGAAGCTGAGGCAGGAATATCACTGGGAGTTCAAGGGCGCCCCAGGCTACATAGTAAGTTTGAGGACAGCCTGAACTACGCATCAAGAACCTGCCTCAAAACAAAAACAAAAACAAGGGGCAGGGGATTTAGCTCAGTGGGGCCCAAGCCTGCCTTGCAAGAGCAAGGTTGTGAGTTCAATCCCCGGTACCAAAACAAAAACAAAACATAGTTCATCCTTTGATAGGAAAAAAAAATCATTTATTTGTTTTACTGCTTAAGACTACGTTGTTTTGTTGTGGGGTTTTTTTGTGGTAGGGGAGGGGATCGAACTCCAGGGAGGGGATCAAACTCCGGTCCTTGCACTTGCGCAGCAGGAGGCGAAACTACTGAGCTAAATCCCCAGCCCAAGACTGCCTTGGTTTTTTAAAGATGGTATTAAAGAGTGAATTATTTCTCCCATTTAAGATAATATTTTAGGGGGTGAACAATTTCTTCCAGTTTTAATTCCCATTATTAGGCCAACCCCATGAAAAATTTCTTGCCTTAGAAATTATTTCAAGTAAACAGCCTAGGATCTAACATCTAGTATTTGATTTCCTATCAGATTAGAGTTCGATCCCTGGTACCAAAAAAAGAAAAAAAAAATCAATAAAAAAGGCATCTCTTACTACTAGTAGTCTTTTGCTTCTGGTAAGGACATAGAATATGAACTCAACATTCAATAAAAGAAAATAAAGGTTGTAGAAGAAAAATCATAGCTCAGCGGCCAAGAGAGATTGTGGTTCTAAAACCTCCTGTCCTCCCAGAATATCAAAATCCCGGGCTGCTCAAGTCCCACATATAAAATGACATAGTATTTGCATATAACTTACACATTCTCCCATGTACTTTAAGTCATCTCTAGATTACTTGTAATACCTCATATAATGAAAATGCTACGCAAATAGATGTTACAGTGTATTATTCAGGGAATAATGACAAAGAGTCTGTACATGTTCAATACGCTTTTTTCCCCTCAAATATTTTCAATCCACAGTTGATGGAATACAGATATGGAACACAAGGATACTGAGGGCCTAATCTACACTAACATAAAACAGAATTTGTACACAATTCTACTGTAAGATAAACCATAATTTTAGTAAATTTTCTTTGCTTGTGGGAGTTTGCTACAGACTTGTTTGCAATACCATCCA